TACCCAAAGGGATTCCCAGATAGTAACCCAGCATAGAACTGGGAAAATGAACAGCAGACCCCAATCTTATATAAAGGAATATTGAAAACTGATTGCTGCTAGATGAGGAACAGCTGATCTTCCTAAAACAAGGATCTCTAGATAGGGTGACTAGATTCAGCAGATGGACAAGCACTGGAGAATGGCTGGGGGTGTTGACAACATAGAGGACAATAACAGGGATGACAGAGTATATGGGCTCCAGTATGTGGGAGAGGGGAGGCTATGGGAGGGTGCCATTTGGGAAATGGGTATATAGAGAAATAAGACTGTGGGATGTTCTGTATTATATACACAGAAAAATCAACAAATTAATAAAAAGACATATAAAAATTTACTTCATGTTAATTAGTAGAGGTGATAAACACTACCAATGAAATTTACCTGATGGCTTTATATCCACACTCAGGTGCTAAGCATCCGAGGATATCCAACTGTGACTAGTTATAATCAAATACATAGAGATTAAAGATATATGTGCAAACATCTAAGTGTTAGTAGCATTAAAAATGTAGGAAACAGCATATTGTAAAATGAAATGGAGATCTTCTTTAAAGGGCTAAAACTCATTCAATTTTATGTCTTACAGGGTTTATACTGAGTTCAATATTGTATAATAGTATTAATTCAACTTTGAACTTAAAAATTTACAGCCCGTTTTAAAAGAGATGTATCCTTGCTCTGGAGTGTGTTACTGAATACATTAAAGCTGTAATGAAATGCTGCTTCTAAAAAAAAAAAAAGAACAGGGGCTGTAGGAATGGCTCAATGGTTAAGAGCACTGGCTGTTGTTGCAGGGGATTTGGGTTTGGTTCCCAGCATTCACATGGTGGCTAACAACCATCTGCAATTCCATTTCCAGGGGATATGATGCCCTCTTCTGGCCTCCATGGGCATTTCATGTGTGTGTGGTGCACTTACATACATCCAGGCAAACACTCATACACATAAAATACAAATAAATTAAAAAAAAAAAATTTAAAAACCACAAAACCTTAGCCAGGCGTAGTGGCACGTGCCTATAATCCCAACACTCAGGAGGCAGAGGCAGGCAGATCTCTGTGAGTTCAAGGCCAGCCTGGTCTACATAGTGAGTTCCAGGACAGCTGGGGCTACAAGGAGACCCTTTCTCAAAAAAACCAAAAAAAAAAAAAAAAAACCCACAAAACCAAAAATGAATGTGGTGTGTAGAGGCTGCATGTGTACAGGCTCCTGTGCATGTATGTATACAGATTGTGTAATTTTTTTCCCCTAGGGACTCAATAGATCTTGATAATCCACAGGAGAACATTAAGGCCACCCAGCTCCTGGAGGGTCTGGTGCAGGAGCTGCAGAAGAAGGCAGAGCACCAGGTGGGGGAAGATGGGTTTTTGCTGAAGATCAAGCTGGGGCACTATGCCACGCAGCTCCAGGTGGGTGTGAACACTGGCTACGCTTAACTCTCATCCCTACGAGGACTTCTTCCTTCTTTCAGTGGTGTATAGAGATGTTCATTCTGCTCTTCAACTCAGCATTGTGAAATCATGTTATGTACATAAGGTTCTGATTGTTTGGTTTTATGGTTGTGCCTGTTGGCTTATTTGAGGCAAGAGTCTCACCTAGAGGGTTGGAGAGATGGCTCAGTGGTTAACAGTGCTTCCTACTCTTCCAGAGGATCCCAGTTCAGTTCCCAACACCTAAGTGGAACCCATGGGCGACTCACAACTGCCTGCAACTCTAGTTCCAGGCTGTCAGACACCCTCTTCTGGACTCTGTAGGCATTTGCACATACATGGGGCATGTGTTCGTGCACACACACACACACACATACACACACACACATAAATAAAAATAGAAAATAAAATAAAAATGAGACTCCTATGTAACCCAAATTGGTCTTAAATTCAACATCCCCTCCAACCCATACACTTTTTATTTTACTGAGTAAGGTGCATGCATCATGTGCCAGGATCCCCTGAGCATGTTCTAAGAGCATGAATCATCTTTAACATGGTCATAGTACAGTTATCAACTTTAATATGTTTAACATTAATGAATATTTTTGTTTAATAGTCTGCCTCTATGTCTACTTTGTCACCTGACTCAAAAAAATGTCCTTTAGGGCGTTTTCCACTCTGCAGTCCAGGATCCAGGTCAAGATCACATAGTAAACCTAGAAAGTCCTCTCTTTAATATTTTGTTTGGTTTTAGTTTTGTTTGATTTTTGAGGTAAGGTCTCACATTGTAGTCCAGGCTGGCCTTGAACTTGAAGCAACCTCCTGCCTCAGCTCTCTGGGTACTAGGATTTTAAGTGTGTGTCATCCCGCCCACCTCAAAACTTTCTGCAACCTTACTTGTGACTTTGCCATTTTAGAATAATCACTCCCTCACTTTTCTTTTCCTTTCCTTCTTTCTTTCTTTCTTTCTTTCTTTCTTTCTTTCTTTCTTTCTTTCTTTCTTTCTTTCTTTCTTTCTTTCTTTCTTTCTTTCTTTCTTTCTTTTTTTTTTTTTTTTTTTTTGAGATGGGGGTTCTCACTATGCTGTCTAAGCTGGTCTCAAACTCTTAAGTGGGTGGTGCTACATCCTTCTAGGGCGTCCCATCCAGAGACCTAGCTGCCTACCTTCTGCTCACTGGTGATAGTGATTCTGATTATAGCAGATAGGAAATTTCAGTGCCCTGTTTCTCATCTGGTGTTGCTTTTTAAAAACTTACTTATCCATTTCCAAGAATGTTGATCTAGCACTTTAGACACATTAAGATTCAGGAAACAAAATTACAAACAAAAGAACCTTACCATCGTGGGTTTTCCATGATGTCCTTTCTCATTTTCGTTGGTATGGGAGGAACAGCACTGTGTGACTCCACCATTATCACATCTTCATCATGAACGCTCCCTGTCCAGAGGCCAGGTGAACCCCGTAGCATGAGGGGAACAAAGTGATACCTGCTGTTGCCTTCTTTCAGAACACCTATGACCGCTGCCCCATGGAGCTGGTTCGCTGCATCCGGCACATTCTGTACAATGAACAGAGGCTTGTCCGAGAAGCCAACAATGTGAGTGTCCCTGGGTGTGGGAGAGGAGCTGGGAGCCCTTCTTGACCCACCTCTCTTTGGGCCCCACTCTGTCTAGGTAACCCAGCATGCACCTACTGGTATCTATTTAGGAGTTGATTTTCATAGATTTATAACATTGAGGAGACTGCAACCAGCAAACACTGTGAACAAGTGAAAATAATTTGACCCCAACCAAATCATTTTTTGAATAGAAGCATACTCATATGCAGGTGAGACTTGGGAAGAGACTTAGGAGAGATTTCTTCACACCCTCTGGGCCAGCTGCTGAAGAGAGTAGATCAAACCCAGACCATGTGTATGTTTCCTCCACAACTTCATCTGAGGGGCTTTGGGATGCCTATGAGAAGTATGGCTTCATCCATGGGAGAAGAAGATTACTCTAAAGAAGATCTTAAGGAACAGTATATTCCCAGCGTGCCCACAGCATTGAGTCAGTGAATAAACATGGAATAAAGGGTCATCATGTTTAGGAAGACCTAGGTGACCCCTGGGCTATGTGAGTTCTAGTCTCTAAAGGGAACTGGGAGATCTGTTTGGGGTGCTCTGGTAGAGACTGGATCTGGAACTGAAGCTGCTATGAAGGTGGAGGATGGTACATCCTGTCAGGTCACCTGTTTCCCCACATTTCCCATTCCACCCAAGTTCTCATACGTGACATTTGTGATGCCTTCTCACCTGAAATTTAACTTCTAGGGGGTCTTAGCTTCTCCTAAGGATTAAGGCCAGAAGCTTCCGCCCATCCCCAAACCCTGCATCTCCTCATCTATCCCCAGGGCAGCTCCCCAGCTGGAAGTCTCACTGACACCATGTCCCAGAAGCACCTTCAGATCAACCAGACATTTGAGGAGCTGCGTCTGGTCACACAGGACACAGAGAATGAGCTGAAGAAGCTGCAGCAGACCCAAGAGTACTTCATCATCCAGTACCAGGAGAGCCTACGCATCCAAGGTGAGGATGGGCAGCTGGACCCAGGAGGCCTGTGCATCCTGGGGGTGGGAGGGAGAAACACTCTGTGATCTCCTGCAGAAGAGCCTGTGCATCAAAGGTGGGGCTGGGCAGCGGGGCCAAGGTGCCCTGTGGTTGGGAATGAGGTCTGGGAGCAAGCTCCACTCCCAGGACTTGGAAGAGATCTCAGTTCCATTCTGAGCCTTACCTTGGAATGGGACCATTCACATTGAAGGAGGAACTGGGGGGTGGGGGGATCTTATGGAGAGAGAACACCTGGGACTTGACAGGGAGAGCATGGGGTCTTACTCAGGCTTCCTGCATTCAGGAAGTGGCTAAGGAAGGCATTGCCTTTTTAGGATGGTGCTCACAGCTTAATGAGCAGCACCAGGTGTGATTCCTTGTATATAGTAAATATTTTATAAATGTGCTCTTGCTGAAGTGATAATAATAAGTCACATTTAGGGGCCCTGATCAGTGCTAGAATGTTATCCTAATATGTATGAGGCCCTAACTTCCTTCCTCAGCATAGAAGGAGAAACAAAAACAAACAAAAAAAAGTGTTTAAAAAAAAAAAACTTCCTAAGCAGAAATTGTATAAGGAGCCAAGGGGCTATATTTGTTGTGACCACCATTTCCTGTTTTGTGACATATTCAGAGGGGATGTCCTGTGACCTTGTACCCCTGTGTACCTTAGTGAGTCCTTGTAGCCCAGCTCTCTAACCCTAGCTTCTAGAGTGCATAGAAGTTGAGAATCTTTCCTGAAATTGTGGAGCCCCACCAGCGCCCCCTCTTAACCTTAAGGGGAACTGGCAGTTGAGCTTTAACACTGCCCACCAGCATGCCTGCCTCAGAATCTCAGAGGACTTTTGTCCCTACAACCCCATGCACTTAGTCTGTTTCTTCTAAGGACGTGTATAGATGCCATCACATAACTGTGATGACATTATTTACTGACAGGCTTCCCAGATTATAAATCACTGGGAAAGAACTGTTGTTTAGCTTTAGCATAAGTTCTAGTTTGGGGCTTTTCTTGGCTGTCTGGTTGCTTTTGTCTGTCCTAGCCTGTGTGTCCCTGGGACAAGGACAAGGTCAGTGTGACATGGTGCTCAGAGGCCAGCCAGGAACTCAAAGGAGACATGCCAGTATACTCTTGACTTGACCTGACTAAGGATGCTAGGCAGCTCAAGGGTCACTGGAGACAGCAACAGTGTCAGGGGAGGGTTGCAAGCAGTGGGGACATACACCTTTAATCCCAGCACTTAGGAGGTAGAGGCATTTCAGAGGTGGAGGCAAGAGGATGAAGGTTCAACATCATTCTTGGCTACAAACTGAGTTTGAGGCCAGCCTGGGTTACTAGAGATGCTGTTTCACTCCCACTTCCAGCCCAGAACACATGCCAAAACAGTACCAGGGCCTCATTCATACCCTGCTATCCATGGGATTCCCAGCATTTGGTAGAAAGATGGTATTCCTCCAGCCTCTTCCCCTAAAGGACTCTTCTGAGCAGTATCCCCAGGGACCCTGGAAATGCTCTTCTTCTGTCTATCCATCTGCCTGTCTCCCTCCTTCAGTTGATTGCTCAGCTCAGTTCATAGTGACTCACCCTGCCAGGCATCTTGGGCAGCTTGCAGCCCAGCCAGACTCTCTGATCCTGAGGAAACCATACACACTCGGGGAATTAGATAAGACTAAATGAGCAGGTGCCTCTGCGTGAGGCTCCCCATGTCAGGGACGGGGCTGAGAAATATTCCCCATCTGTCACCCTTCGTTCCTGTCCTTTCCTCTAGCAACCAACAAGGAAGAATCTACATAGATCTTAGGTACAGTGTGAAGCTCTTGGAGCACTTTGTGTACCATCATTTAATCGTTATAGGAGCCCATCCAGGCTCCCTTTAGAGATGGAAGACTGAAGCAGGGGAAAGGAAGGGATTTACCCACTATCACCTAACTAGTAAATGGTGGGGCCACTTGTGCCCACAGCATAGCTCTGTCCTGGCTTGTTTTCTTCTTGCTGTGATTAAAACACTGACCAAAATCAACTTGTGGAGGAAAGGATTTCAACTTATAGGTTATAGCCTATCATCGAAGGAAGCCAGGCAGAAGCTCAGGCAGGAGCCTGGAGGCAGGAACTGAAGCAGGGGCAATGGAGGAACGCTGCCATTGGCTGGCTTCCCTGGGCTTGCTCAGCTACCTTGCTTTTTAATTTTTAGAAAGATTTTGTTTATTATTTTTATTTTAAGTGTATGAGTATATTGTCCGCATGATGGCTCAGTGGTTAAGAACACTAATTGTTCTTGCAGAAGACCTGGGTTTGAATCCCAGTACCCACATGGCAGCTAACAACTATCCATAACTCCTGTCCCAGGGGTTCTGACAGCCTCTTCTGACCTCTTCAGGCATTGCATGACACGGGTGCACTTACCTACATGGAGGCAATACACATAAAATAAAAATAATAAATAAAAAATTTTTAAAAAAAGAGCACTGGCTGCTCTTGCAGAAGACCTGGGTTCAGTTCCCAGCACCCACATGGAGGTTAACAACCATCCATGACTCCAGTGCCAGGGAATCCAATGCCGCCTTCTGCCTCCACAGGCATTGCATGCACAGGTGCACTTTCATACATACAGGCAAAATACTCATACACATACAATAAAAGTAAAATACCCCTTGGGTGTGGTGGTGCATGCCTTTAATCCCAACACTCGGGAGGCAGAGGCAGGTGGATCTCTGAGTTCTAGGCCGGTCTACATAGTGAGTTCGAGGCCAGCTGGGGCTACAGGGAGATCTGTCTCAAAAACACCAAAATAAATAATAAATAAATAAATAAATAATAAATTTTAAAAAATCTTTTTAAAAAAGAAGCCAGGCATGGTGGCGCACACCTTTAATCCCAACACTCCAGAGTCAGGCGGATCTCTGTGAGTTCAAGGCCAGCCTGGTCTACATAGTGAGTTCCAGAACAGCTGGGACTACAAAAGAAGACAAAAAAAAAAAGAAAGAAAGAAAAAATGTTTCCACAGATATGCCTATAGGCCAATCTGATGTAGAAAATTCCTCAGTTGAGGTTCCCTTATCCCAAATGTGTCACCTTGACAACTGAATCTAACTATAATATGCTCCAAGCCTGACACCCCATGAGTGGTGTGTGGAATGGATGTAGGAGCCAGACACTGCCAAGCACTAGTAAGCACCTGCTACCAGCACCCAGGAGATGTTAGGTCAGAAGGCCCATGAGCAAAGCCTGGAGGCTGCCTCTGAGTGAACCCCTTCATCATGAGGCATCCATGGCTAGTAGGAACCTGACTTAACAATGGGGCATCTGACCCTGGGCATATGAATACAGATAATCAACGTTTTCTGTTGGACACAGAAGATGATGGTGGTGGGTGTCCTGTCCCCTCCTCCAGCTCAGTTTGCCCAGCTGGCCCAACTGAACCCCCAGGAGCGCATGAGCCGAGAGACGGCCCTCCAGCAGAAGCAGGTGTCCCTGGAGGCCTGGCTGCAGCGGGAGGCCCAGACGCTACAGCAGTACCGCGTGGTGAGTAGGTCCTGCCCCCAAGAGGGAGCACCATGACCAGAGACTCTGGGGACCAGGTAGAGGGACAAGGCCAGGATGAGAGCAGGGCCCCTCTTTCCAGGGGTATGTGCAGGGTGGAGCAGGTGGGAGGGGAGGGGATCGTATCCTGGGGTCTAAGCCAGGCCCCACAGGGCTGTTCTCTGGAAGCCAGAAGGCTGCTGTGCCATCCTGCAGGAGCTGGCTGAGAAGCACCAGAAGACCCTGCAGCTGCTGCGGAAGCAACAGACCATCATCCTGGACGACGAGCTGATCCAGTGGAAGCGGCGGCAGCAGCTGGCTGGAAACGGGGGTCCCCCCGAGGGCAGCCTGGACGTGCTGCAGTCCTGGTAAGGGCAAAAGAGGTGGGCAAGGCAGGCAGAGCTCAGGCGATGGTGTCAGCAGCCTCTCCTGTCCTTATGTAGGCCTGAGCAGCAGACTCCCACTGTCTGTGACAGCTCTCCCTTCACCAGTGGCCCTGTTTCTGATGGGACTTGGCTCCCCTGTCCCATGACACCTCCCCCAGGGAGCAAGTAGTGTCCTGGGGAATGGGAAGGACTCAGGTGCGCGGTGACTCTTGGGCTGGTTGGTTCCAAGCCAGGGCCGCCCCTGTCCATCCTCTACTTCTGGAAGGTAGGACTCTGCTCTGTGCCTGTGCAGGGGAGCAGTGGTCAATGCTGGCACCTGCCTGGGTGGTTTTGTTGGGAGTGAGGAGCTGTGTCTGTGACGTCCACCCCTGGCGTGGGGTGGGGCAGCAGCCACTGTCCTCCTGAGGGCCCTGAGCTCCTTGCAGGTGTGAGAAGTTGGCCGAGATCATCTGGCAGAACCGGCAGCAGATCCGCAGGGCGGAACACCTCTGCCAGCAGCTGCCCATCCCTGGTCCCGTTGAGGAGATGCTGGCCGAGGTCAACGCCACCATCACAGACATCATCTCAGCCCTGGTCACCAGGTGACTGCTGCCTCCCAGCCATGCTCAAAGGGACATGGCAGCTCCCAGGGGTGGACATGTAGAGGCCCAGGAGCTGTCCAGACCCAGAGCTCTGCCCAGGTCTGGCCTCTCTGCCTTACTCCGGCCACTGCAGCTCCAGCGGCTCTAGGTGTTATGGCAGCCCTGGTCCAGTGTCTGTTGGGGACACTGCAGGAATCACCCTGGTGTCCAGCTGCTCTCCCACCCTCTCCCCAATTTCCCACAGCCTCTCTGCCTGCCTGCCTTCTCCTGCTCAGCCCCATGGGAGGATCCTCCCCTCTCAGCAGGTTCCACAGCCCCCCAACCCCCAGCCAGCATCTGGTCATGTGTTTGGTCACTTGTGTCCCCCACAGCACATTCATCATCGAGAAGCAGCCCCCTCAGGTCCTGAAGACCCAGACCAAGTTCGCAGCCACCGTGCGCCTGCTGGTGGGTGGGAAGCTGAATGTGCACATGAACCCCCCGCAGGTGAAGGCCACCATCATCAGTGAGCAGCAGGCTAAGTCCCTGCTCAAGAACGAGAACACCCGCAAGTGAGTGCACTGCAGGGTCCCTCCTTGGTGCTTGCCTCTGTCCTTGATAATGAAGATCTTAATTCTGCCTTGGTGTCCACCCCCCTTGCTCCCCTCTTGTTCTCTGGACCCAAGAGTAAATATCGAGGTTCCTTTATAAAGATAGTGTAATCTCAGCTGGGCACGGCAGTGCACACCTTTAGTCCCAGCACTTGGGAGGCAGAGGCAGGTGGATCTCTGTGGTTTTGAGTTCTAGGCCAGCTGGGGCTACAGGGAGACCCTGTCTCAAAAAGACCAAAAAATAAAGAAAATAAAAATAAAAGATAATATCACGTCATTTGGTAGGAATATATTCAAGAAAATCCTTTCTATGCCTCATTCAGTAGCTAGCATCTCCTCGCAGTGGCAGGTGTTATTAGCAGCCCCCTTTCTTTCCCTGCCTCACTGTGCTCCACCCCTGTCTTCTGTGCCCCGGGGGGATCTGCAGCTCATCTCTGTCTGATTTTCAGTGATTACAGTGGCGAGATCCTGAACAACTGCTGCGTTATGGAGTACCACCAGGCCACCGGCACCCTCAGTGCCCACTTCAGAAACATGGTGAGGATGGGGGACAGGTAGAGTGACTCTTCCCTCCGTGTGTCAGGCTTCACCATCTCATACCCCTCCTTTGCAGTCCCTGAAACGAATTAAGAGATCTGACCGCCGTGGCGCAGAGTCTGTGACAGAAGAAAAATTCACAATCCTGTTCGACTCACAGTTCAGTGTTGGTGGAAATGAGCTGGTCTTTCAAGTTAAGGTAAAGCTCTCTCATGGTCATTGTGTTGTTTGTGTGTGTGCAATATGTGTGTGGGCAATATGTATACACTGCATTCAGTATATATACACAGTATGTACAGTGTGTATACCATATGTATACAGTGTATGTACCCAGTGTATGTGCAGTGTGCGTATAGTATACATACAGTGTACCCAGTGTGTTTGTAATGTGTGTATAAAATGCATACGGTGTGTGTGCAGTATATTTATAGTATGCATACGGTGGATGCAATATGTATAGTATATATACTATATGTGGGCCCAGTGTGTGTACATAGTATGTGCAATGTAGGTGTAAAGTATATATATGGTGTGCGCAGTGGGTGTATATACAGTGGATCTTTGCATGCTGTTTATATTCCAAACGAGTTTGATCACATGATACCTTACTTTTGACTGTCAATGAGTGGAAAATAGAGAGACTCCATCCTTAGGACTGTTGTCAATTCCTCTTTAAGACATAAACTGCAACAAACTGGAATAACTGGAAAGCTCCCTGAAAAATGAACCATGGGAAACCACTCAGTGTGAACTTGAGAAATGGTTAGAGTTTTTGTGAGTGTGTGGTTTTGTTTGTTGGGTTTCTTTTTTGAAAATATTTTATTATTTTTATTATTTTATGTGTATGAGTGTATTGCCTGCATGCATGTACATACACCCATGTCATGTAATGCCGGTGGAGGTTAGAAGAGAGTGTTGGACTCCCTAGAACTGGAGTTACAGATGATTGTTAGCTGCCATGTGGGTGCTGGGAACCGAATCCAGGTCCTCTGTAAGAACTGCCAGTGCTCTTAACCACTGAGTCATCTCTCTAGACCCTGGGTTTCTTTTTATGAGACAAGGTCTCACCATGTAACCCAGGCTAGCCTTGAGATTGAAGTCTTCCTGCCTCAGTGTCCCCAGTGCTAGGATTACAGGTGTTACAATATTTTAAACATTTCTTCCTGACACATTTTCTAGAAACTCCTCTCTTCTCTCTTGTTTTCCATGTGATTGTGAAAAAGTTGCTTCATTCTTCAGAATATCTAAGCAAGATCACCCTTAAAATACCTAAATTTTCAACTGGGTACTGTTATACACACTTGTAATCTTAGTCATTGGAGGCAGGAATCAAGAGTTTGAGACCAAAGTTGGGCATGGTGGTGCATTCCTGTGATCCCAGCCCTTGAGAAGAAATGGAAGCAGGAGGATCAGAAGTTCAAGGCTAGCCTCAGCTTTATAGGGAGATTGAGGCCAGTGTGTGCTGCATAAGACCTTGAGACCACCCTGGGCTACATAATGATTTCAAGGTCAACCCAGGACACAAAGTGATATCCTTTTCCAAAAAGGAAAAATTAGATAGGTAGGTAGGTAGATAGATGGATGATGATAGATAGATAGATAGATAGATAGATAGATAGATAGATGATAGATAGATAGATGATTGATAGATAGATAGATGATTGATTGATAGATAGAGATTGATAGATGATAAATAGATAGATACATGATAGATAGATTGATAGATAGATAGATAGATTGATAGATAGATGATAGATAGATGATAGTAGATAGATAAGATAGATAGATAGATAGATAGATGATGATAGATAGACGATAGATAGATAGATAGATAGATAGATAGATAGATAGATAGATAGATAGATATCTAAGTCCTTTATGATTGTGCTAGTGTGAAATATCCTATTATTGCTGGAGCCATTCCCGTTCTTTGAGAGTATCACTTACTGAAACTTGAACAAAAATGTGATATGGACCTGGAGAGATGGCTCAGTGGTTAAAAGCAGTGGCTCCTCTCTCAGAGGACCTGGGCTTGGTTCCTAGCATCCACATGGTGGCTAATAACTGTCCTTAACTTCAGCTCTAGGGGATCCCATGCCCTCTTCTGGTGTCTGCAGGCATTACATGCACATAGTGTACATACATACATGCAGGCAAAACACTCATACACATAAAATAAAAATAAGTAAACCATGATAATCAGGAAAACAGAAAGGAAGGGGAAGCACTTGAAGATGTGGGTGCTCAATTCTTCTCTGTCTTGTAGACCCTGTCCCTCCCGGTGGTGGTGATTGTTCATGGCAGCCAGGACAACAATGCGACGGCCACAGTCCTCTGGGACAATGCTTTTGCAGAACCTGTGAGTGGATTTCTCAGCCTGTGGGTCTCCATATCTCAAGACTGGTGTCATGAATCTCTTGTGTTTTCTCTCTCTCTCTCTCTCTCTCTCTCTCTCTCTCTCTCTCTCTCTCTCTCTCTGCTTAGAGAATGTCATTTTCTTTAGTGGGAGGCAGGCAGAATAAAAAATGTAGAAAGAGGAAGGGCTTGATGTCAGCCAGGTTTGAATTTCAGGCTTTACCATCACCCATGGTGACTGTGGGAAGTTCACTTGCCCTCTCTGAGCTTGAGTTTCTAGTCAGTGCCTGCTACACAGGCAGAATGGGGCTCCATGGCATCATCACAAGACTAAGCTCAGTAACACAGAAAACTACACACAGAAGATGCTTTGGTATGTGTTTGACTCCTCAGGGGAGTCCTGAATGATTTACAGACCCCTAGTCTCTTTCTAGAGTTTACTTTCACCTCAAAGTTGCCTCATGTCATCTACCAGTAGACAAGGATTGTATTCAATGTGCTTTCCAGGTCGCTCCTGAAGAATGAGGTGCTCCAAAGGAAGCCTTCATTTGTGGGCTTGTGCACCCAAATAAAACCAGAATGACATTAGCATACTACTCACCACACACTTCCCTTTCCTTCCTTCCTTCTTTCTTTCTTCCTTTTTCTTTCTTTCTTTTTTTTTTTAAACATGGCCTTATGTGTCCCAGGACAGCCTTGAAATCACTGCATAGCTTTGAACTTCTGATCCTCCTGCCTTCGCCTCCCAAGTGCTGGGATTACAGGTGTGTGTCACAACACTCGTTTATGAAGTACCAGGGATGGAACCCAGGGCTTCATGCATGCTAGGCTAGCACCCTACCACCTCGAGCTCATGATGACCCTTTTTGAAACATTTCCATGGGCAGAGATCTGTGCTGTATCTTTCCTATAAGTTAGTTCATAAAAGCATGCTACAAGGACAACTGTCATTTGATATATCAAAGTTTGTCTTTCTCTAGCATCTAAAGAGTCTTAGCTGTCCTCTTTAGAGGACAATGCTTCATTGCAAAGGCAAGATTTTTATGAGATTCTACCCTGTGTGTGCTGCAAAACCTGAGTTTAGACCCTTTTAAAAATATTTATCATTTTTATTATTATTTTTTATGTGTATTGCCTGAATGTATGTAAATGAACCTGTACCATGCAGTGCACTCAGAGAACAGAAAGAGGGCATCAGATTCCCTGGAACTCGAGTTACAGATGGTTGTTAGCCACCATGTAGGTGCTAGGATTGGAACCGGGTCCTCTGCAAGAGCAGCCAGTCCTCTTAACTGCTGAGCCATCTCTCTTCCACCTAGACTCTTTTTTTAAATGTCTCCCTATATTGTCTTCGTACAGACAATATAGGATCAGATTGCCTCATCTTCATCCCTCCCAATTACAGATCAATTTCTGACCTTGACATGTGTGATCAGTAGGGTAGCTTGTCCAGTGATAAGCTTTTTTCACATTTTCAGTTATGCTAATGACTATGGTATATTGAATGTTATTTGAAAATAAATACTAGAGAGATGGCTCAGCAGTTAAGAGCATTAGCTGCTCTTGCAGAAGACCTGGGTTTGATTCCCAGCACCCACATGCTAGCTGACAACTGTCCAGTTCCAGGGGATCTGATGCCTTCTTCCAATCTCCTCAGGCACTGCAGGACACAGGTGCACCTACCTACATGCAGGCAATACACTCATACACATAAAATAAAAATAATAGATAAAATATTTATTAAAAGAAAAATTCTCAAAAAAGACCCCCAAAATTATTTTTTTAATCTGTTTTGAGAGGGTCTTCCTGTAGCCCCAGCTGGCCTAGAAGAAAAAATATTTTTATTTTTTTAAATATTTTTTAAAATATTTTTATTTATTATTTTTATTTTGTGTGTATGAGTGTATCACCTGCGTGTATGTGAGTGCACCCGTGTCATGCAATTCCATGGAAGTCAGAAGAGGGCTTCGGATTCCCCTGGAACTGGAGTTAAGGATGGTTCGTAGCTGCCATGTGGATGCTGGGAATCCTGCCCAGGTCCTCTGCAAGAGTAGTCAATGCTCTTAACCTCTGAGCCATCTCTCCAGCCCCGAAAAATTATTTTTAAAATGGTCTTTGTGGTTCTGGGGCTTGAATCCAGGGTTTAGCATATGCTAGGAAAGCTTTTCCATTTCTGATTTTGATTTTGAGTTTTTAGTAAAGGGCTGGAGAGATGGCTCAGCAGTTAAGAACACTGGCTGTTCTTACAGAAGACCCGGGTTCGAATCCCAGCACCCACATGGCAGCTAACAACTGTCCGTAACTCCAGTTCCAGGGGATCCAACAGCCTCTTCTGTCCTCCGCAGGCATTGCACAATACGAGTGCACTTACCTACAGGCAGGCAATACACTCATACACATAAAAAAAAATTAAAATATTCTTCTTTAAAAAAAAAGGAAAAATAAGGGGTTGGAGAGATTGCTCAGTGATTAAGAACACCTGATGTTCTTGCAGAGGACCCCAGGTTTGATTCCCAGCACCCACATGGTAGCTAACAATGTCCATAACTCCAGTTCCAGAGAATCTGACACACTCTCCTGACCTCCGGGAGTCAGAGGCAAGAGGATCTCTGTGAAGGCCAGACTATTCTACATAATGAGTTCCAGGCCAGCTGAGGCTTCAGGGAGACCCTGTCTCAAAAAAAGACCAAAAAAAAAGAAAAAGAAAATAAACGCAAGAGACCAGGGAGATGGTTCAGGATGGTGGAAGGAGAGGACTGACTCCTAAAAGTTGTCCTCTGACCTCCACATGTATCCTGTGGAGGCATGCATGCTGTGGCATGCGTGCACACAGGCACATATACATACATATTCAAATAAGTAAATACAGTAAAAAAAAATTTTAAATACAGGAAGCCAGAAGAGCATGGTGGTACACTTAATCCCAGTACTTGGGGAGGCAGAGACAGGAGAATCCCTGGAGTGTACTGACCTTCTAGTCTTGCTGAGTCAGTGAGCTCTAAATGCAGAGACAGACACTGTCTCAGAAAATGAAGTGGAGAAGCAATTAAGGAGGACACCCAACATCAGCCTCTGATTCTGCATATACAGGCACACTCACAGAAGAACATGTACACACATACAATAAAATACATTCTATTGGGAATTTATTCTACATGGATATTGCATATGTATCAAATAACAAGTACAGTATGACAGTCATGTTTGTCGTAGCTGAAAATTGAGGGTTGATACATAGATGCCCATCGATGGAGCACTGGCAAAATATATTATTGTTCTCTATTGTAGAATATTTAGCAACCATAAAAGAAAGTGAAGAATTAGCCGGGCATGGTGGTACATTCCTTGCTCTTTCAGCACCTGAGCTAAGGCAGGAGGATAGTGAGTTCAAGGCCAGCCTGGATACATAGCAAGACCTTCTCTCCAAGAAGGAGGAGGAAGAAGCTGGATAGATGGCTGAGGGTTAAGAGCACTAGCTGCTCTTGCAGAGGACCTGGGTTTGATTCCCAGCACCCACATGGCAGCTAACAACCATCCATAACTATAGTTCTAAGGAAATGATGCTCTCTTCTGGCCTCAACAGGCATTGCATGCATGTGGTGCACAGACATACATGCAAGCAAAACATTCATACATATAAAATAAATCTTTTTTTAAATTTTACTATTTTTATTTTATGTGTATGTATGTATTGCCTGCATGTAAGTAAGTGCACCCATGTCGTGCAATGCCCGTGGAGATCAGAAGAGGCTGTTGGATCCCTTGGGACTGGAGTTACGGAGAGTTGTTAACTGCCATGTGTGTGCTAGGATTCGCTGACCCATCTCTCCAGCCCCCATAAATCGTTTTTTTAATTATTTTATTTATTATTTTTATTTTATGTGTATGAGTATATTACCTGCATGCATGTGAGTGCACCCATGTCATGCAGTGCCACGGAAGTCAGAAGAGGGCTTCGGATTCCCCCAGAACTGGAGTTAAGGACGGCTCGTAGCTGCCATGTGGGTTCTGGGAATCAAACCCGGGTCCTCTGCAAGAGCAGTCAGTGCTCTTAACCACTGACCCATCTCTCCAGCCCCAAATCTTTTTTTTAAAGGGAGGAAGGGAAAGGGAAAAAGGAAGAATTCCTTTTTAATTTTTAATGACACAAAAATTGTACGTATTTATGTGTTTTGATCAATATATACATTGTATAATGATCTGATCAGGGTAATTAGTATATTTACATATTATACATATTATTATAGTATATTTATATTTATAATTCCTTTGTGATAAGAACACTGAAGTTCCGCTGACCAGGTGTAGTAACTCATGCCTGAAATCCCAGCACTTGGGAGGTAGAGGCAATCCAGTATTAATAATGACTTCAAGGCCAGCCTGTGCTACATGAGACCCTGTCTTGTAAAAACTTAAAAAAAAAAAAAAAAGGCGGACCGGAGAAGTGAAGTAGCTCAGTAAAGTGCTTACCATGCAAACACAAGGACCTGAGTTCAAGCCCCAGAACCTGTGTAAAAAGCTGAGCATGTAGTGAGGCAGCTCAGGAGGTAAAGCCTCCTGCTGCCAAACCAGACAACCTGAGTTCAAGCCCCAGAACCCACATGTGGAAAGAGAGAACCTCTTCCTGCAAGTTGACTTTTGATCTCTGCATGTTCACTGTGGCATGCCCCTGCCAAAAAAAATAATAAAAAGGAGTTTTAAAGAAAAAGCTAAACATGGAAGTACATGCCTGTCATCCCAGCACAGAGGAGGCGGAGACAGGTGAACACCCAGGACTCACTGGCCAGCCAGTCTAGCCTATTAAATCCCAGGACCCAATGGGAGACTCTGTCTCAAAAAATAAGATGGTATCCAACAAGATGGCTCAGCAGATAAAAGCACTTTGTTGCACAAGTCTGGTGACCTAAGTTCAATACCCAGAACCCATGATAGAAGGAGAAAATCAGCTACCCAAAGTTTCCCTCTGACCTCCACACACACACACTCATATACACACACAATAACAACAACAACAATACTTTTTTTTTTTTGGTCTTTTTGAGGCAGGGTCTTCCTATAGCCCCAGCTGTCCTGGAACTTACTATGTAGACCAGGCTGGCCTTGAACTCACAGAGATCCCACTGCCTCCCCAAGTTCTGGGATTAAAGGTGTGCGCTACCACGCCTGGTTCTCAATAATACTTTTTTTTTTTTTTTTTGGTCTTTTTGAGACAGGGTCTCCCAGGCCCCAGCTGTCCTGGAACTCACTATGTAGACCAGGCTGGCCTTGAACTCAACAGAGATCCACCTGCCTCCCGAGTGCTGGGATTAAAGGCATGCACCACCACGCCCAGCTCAATAATGCTTTTTTAAAAAATAAGTAGATGGCTCTTGATGAGTGACACCTGAGATTGACCTCTGGCTTCCACTCACATGTACAATAAAAACACACACAGTGAGTGAGTGAGAGAGGAGAAGAGAAGAAAAAAGAAAGGAAGAGGAAGGGATGGAGGGGAGGAGAAGAGAAGGGAGAGGAGAAGGGAGGAGAGTCCCCTCTTTTAGCTATCTGGAAACAATAAAATGTTACCAGCTGTACTCACTCTACTGTGCGATCGATCACCAGACCGCATCCCTCCTGTCTAGTTGAACCTTTGTACCCATTGACCAGCTGGCTGAATGGAATGAGAAGCAATTTATTAAATGTTCTTAGTCTAACCTGTTTCTCAATAAAGTTGCCAACTAGAAAATTTCCACTCTACCATGCCAAGTTGCTTCACTTTGAGCTAGAGCTCTTGGCAGAGGATGTCAGGGGTAAGTATAGCACTTGTGTACATGTATCTCTGTGACCATTCTCCCCACATATACCTAGCCTGGAAACTAGTCTTGTCTGGATAGTCTCATGTAGCCCAGGCTGACCTCAAACTCTCTGTAGCAGAGAATGGCCTTGAGTTCCTGATCCTCTCTCCCATCTCCACCTCATGAGTGCTGAGATTACAGGCATGTTCCACCGCCTGGCAATGTTTTTAATGTCTAAACTTCCAAAGATTGTATACCATAAGAGCCAAAACTTGGTGGAATTTTTTTTGACGGTATTAAAACCAGGAATCAGACTGCAGGGTCAGCAGCTCACAGGCCAGCATACCAATCAATGAGGTGGCCTCTATTTGTGTTGTATATGAACACGTATAAAAAATGGGACCTTGTGTGTCTCTGTGCACCCAAGAAAGTCTGAATATCTCAGGTTTGGCAGGACAGATGTTTATAACTACTTCCAGCCATCATTGTTTTTCTTTGGTGGCTTGAGGGAATCAGTCACGAAACTGTTTTCTCATAAGATTCTGGCTTTCCTCCCTCTCAGGGCAGGGTGCCATTTGCCGTGCCTGACAAAGTGCTGTGGCCGCAGCTGTGTGAAGCGCTTAACATGAAATTCAAGGCCGAAGTGCAGAGCAACCGGGGCCTGACCAAGGAGAACCTTGTGTTCCTGGCACAGAAACTGTTCAACAGCAATAGCACCCACCTCGAGGACTACAACAACATGTCCGTGTCCTGGTCCCAGTTCAACAGGGTGAGCAACCAGCCTCCAGCTGCTGTTAATCCAGTCCTTCCAAACTGTTTGCCTTCTGGAGTTTCCCTGCCCTGGGCCCCTGTTCTTCACAGTTCTAATAAAATGTACCCAAGCTAATAGAAGCATCTAAGTAGATGGACAGCTTGAGGGTTAGCCAGGTCTCACGTAGAAAATCCCATCTTTTCCTGTTGTAAACAAGCTGGGCTTTGTGCATACAGTTAATGCATTTCCTCCTTCATAAAGGAAATGAAGCGAACGTGAGTCTAACTCCTTCCCTGGCTCTGTTCCACCAGCTCTGAATGCCAGCTTGGGGACCCTCCACCCCCCAAAAGAGGATATGGATGAAGGAAACATTTCCTCTGGCATTCAGAAAACCTTTGGTCATGTCAGATCTTTGATTTCAGTTAAACCTTTTTTTTTTCTTTAATATCCTTATCCCCAGTGCTTCAAGTGTTCTTGATTCAGAGAGCTCCTGGTCGCTGAGTCTTCTGAACAGTTCTGTGTTCACAAGATGCTGGTAGTCAGAGGAGCTGTGGTAGGGGAAGCAGCGGGTCTCAGTGGTCTCTCTTTGCCATTGCAACAAAGCCTCTGTCTCCCATAGAACCTGGCAACTGCATTTGGCTGGTAATTCATGGGAATGTCTGTGTGATGTCAGCATCTCTGTGGCTTTACAATGTGATCTAAATTAGGTCAGATCTACGAACCAGCCAGGCATATTGTTAAAATGCATGCTGTGATTCATAGTGGGTCCGAGGTGGGCCCGAAAAATGTACATTTCTCAGAATCTCCCAGGGGATATTGATGCTGCTTGTGATGGGCCACATGTCAGAAATAGCCAGGGGTGAGTCTATGGGATCCAGCTAAAGCTGTAACAGGGTCCCCTGGGGATTGGGACTAGTATGTGGCCATTTGCCTTTTTTCTTTTCCTTTATTCTGTCTTTTGGGTTGTAGGACCATTTGGTAAAAGACAGGCAGGGATATTTGTATGCTTCTCATACTGGGGATGTTTGTTTTCCATTCAGATTTTCCATTTAAAATGTATGGAAGCAGCCCATGCTGCCTGGCACATAAACAAAGCCAGGAACTGAATCTTTGCACTTTACTGAGAGAGCTGGCAATCTGGAAAGTCAGAGTGAAATCTGCCTTTCCCATCTTTTCTTCATTAGCATTGTCATAGAGATCTAGAACACAAGCAATAAATGGATCATTGTTCAGTTTTACCCTTCTGGCTAGGTGGGTCTTCAGAGTTCAGTCTTGCTCTGGCCAGGTGGTTCCTGCTCCTGACATTCCCATTTTCCTCCTTACCATCTCTTTGTGTGTCCTGCACACCTCCTGAGCCCACTGAATGATATCTAGATTTAAGGTTAACTCAGAACGAACCTACCTTTAGCAGTGTTAATGTGTGGATTCTTTCCTACAGGATAAAGTACTAACGTCATCTTACAATTTAGACTATGAAGTACCTTGCCATTTTGCAGTTAATAATCCATCTTTCACTCTGGCTTTCTTGTTGTATCTCCAACCAGGAGAATTTGCCAGGACGGAATTATACTTTCTGGCAGTGGTTTGATGGTGTGATGGAAGTGTTAAAAAAACATCTCAAGCCTCACTGGAATGATGGGTGAGAATGTTTTTTTATTTTTATTATATGTTGCCCAGGCTGGTCTTGAACCCCCGTCAAGCAATCCTGCAGCCTCAGCCTCCTGAGTAGCTGGGACTGTAGTCATCTATTCTTAGGTCAATACGAGAATGGGAAGGTTTTCTCTCTATTATTATGTCACCCTCTGCTTCTGTGCCTTTGACTCTGACTCTGTGATCCAGGGCCATCTTGGGTTTTGTGAACAAGCAACAGGCCCATGACCTACTCATTAACAAGCCAGACGGAACTTTCCTACTGAGGTTCAGCGATTCAGAAATCGGAGGCATCACCATTGCTTGGAAGTTTGACTCTCGTGAGTGCCCCTCCCTTTTTAAGACACATCTTGGCTAAAGTTTGCCTCTTGTGTCACAAAATTAACAGTTTATTGAGTATGTACTGTTTGTTGGGGCTGGTCCTAATTACAAGAATCACAGACATAACCTGTGATACAGCTGGTCAGAATGCAGCAGCCTGTGAGCAATCCTATTATGGGAAACGCAATTTCTAATTTTGGGAGACGTGAAAGTGCAGCCATCTAATACTGCGGCCGGCAGAGTCTCAGCCACTTCCCTTTTGAAATGTTTGCCTCATTGTTTCTCAGCCTGGAGCTTATTTCAGTGAGGAATTACATTGCCAGTGTGGAGTCTTCAGAGCAAAACTAACTTATTTCATTTTTCCCTTTTCCTAATTAGTATAAGCTATTGTCATTGACCATTCCCACCTGAGAACATTGCTTCTTTAGCCTGACTCTCGCAGTAAGAGGAGCTTTCTAGTTTGTTTTATAGTTTAAAGATTTTAATAACTTGTAGTAGCTCTTATACTATCTCCGGCAGTAGACATGCTTCCTAGCTCTCTTAAATATCTTTGTATAGGGAATTAGAGATTGGGGTCCATAAGAACTATTTCTTTTAAAGAGTGCTATTTGAACCTGACCCCACTGATATCATTAGAGCTCCAGGGAAGTGATGTGTACACTTACTTTTAAGTACTTTATCAGCCGGGTGTGGTGGCACACACCTGTAGTCCCAGCACTTGGGAGGCAGAGGCAGGCAGATCTCTGTGAGTTCAAGGCCAGCCTGGTCTACATAGTGAGTTCCAGGACAGCTGGGACTACAGGGAAACCCTGTTTCTACAAAGACCAAAAAAAAAAAAAAAAAAAGAAGTACTTTATCTACAGCCTGTGGCTATTTTTAAATGATCATTTCACTTGAAGTGACTTTAATGGGGAGTTTGAATACAGTCTGTATGGTATTTAAGATCTCATGTTCAGAAATCATGGTTAGAACGTGATTATTCTGTTTATTGATCTAGAGGAAAGAATGTTTTGGAATCTGATGCCTTTTACCACCAGAGACTTCTCCATCCGGTCCCTGGCTGACCGCTTGGGGGACTTGAGTTACCTTATATACGTGTTTCCTGATCGGCCAAAAGATGAAGTGTACTCCAAGTATTACACGCCCGTTCCCTGCGAGCCCACCACTGGTAACAATGTTCGCATTCTCATTGGATTCTCTCATGACTTTGGTTTTGGTTTTGTTTGGGTTTTTGTTTGTACATGTGTGTATGTGTGTGCATAGCTCTTTCTTGCATGAAACCCACACAGTTAGCAGTTAGCCACTGGTGTCATATCCAGAACAGATGCAAGCCATTTGCACGGTTCATCAGTGAAAATACATCTGTCACTAGTTCCCAATATCTTGGGGGGCGGGGGTTGTGTGTGTGTTTGGGGTTTCTTTTCAATTTTTTAAAATTTTATGTGTAGGAATGTTTTGCCTGCATGTATGTAAATGCACCATATGTGTGCAATACCTGCAGAGGCCAGAAGAGGGCACAAAATTCCCTGGAACTAGAGTTATAGATGGTTTTTAGTTGCCATGTGGGTGCTGGGAACTGAACTGGGGTCCCTGCAAGAGCAGCCAGTGCTCTTAACTGCTGAGCCATCTCTCAAGCGCCTGTGTTTGAGTGTTTGAAACAGAGGCTTGCCCAGGCTGACCTAGAACTCATTGGCCTCAAACTCACAACCCTCTTGCCTCAGCCACCTGCAGATTCTTTGGGGGCGGGTTGAGACAGTGTCTCCCTGTAGCCCCAACTAGCCTGGAACTTGCTACATAGACCAGGCTGGCCTCAATCTCACAGAGATCCTCCTACCTCTGCCTCCAGAGTGCTGGGATAAAGGCATTCACCACCACTCCCTGCTGCAGACTGCTTTTAACACAAGTCTTAAATCAAACAAAATTAGAAAAGTAAAATTCTTTTTTCAAAACATAGATGGTTTTATTGTTTTTCTTCACTTAGACATGTTTTTTTATTATTACTGATTTTTCAGGAAATGCATAAATGCATAAGAAAGAAAGCAGACATCGCACATCTCTCATCTAGAGGTTAGCCTCTAGACAGCTCAGGGCATCCCTTCATACCCTATAGGTGCTTGTTGTGAGCTTCTTGTATAGAGGCTGCAATCTAGTCAGAAAGAAGAGAAAAAGCAATAAGAGAATCAACAGATACACGTGTGTATTGAGCAATGGATGCTCTGAGAGAAACAAAGGAAATGGAGGGAGACGTGGCAGAGAGGAGGTGGGGGCATCTTTTCACCGAGCAGTCAGGGTGCTTTCTGAGGAAGTGACGTTTGAATAGATTTGAACAAAGTAAGGAAACTGGCCTTGTAAAGACCTGGAGAGAAAACATCCTAGGCCAGAGAACAAATTCAGCTTAGGTGGCTAAAAGCTCCCTAGGGCCGGGGAGGCTGCTGCAGCCAAGGAGGAGGCCAGTGGAGGAGCTGAGGTCAGGGTGAAAGGTGTGTACTTGGATTAAACCTACTGAATCTTTTTATGCCCGGATTTCACATACAGGCAGCGCTCCCACATACACACATGTACATAAGAGTATGTGCTAGGCAGAGCTACAGGTCAGTCAGTCATGCAGCACTATCTTAATGAGTGCACAGAGTCCATTATACGGAGATCTCACAATTCATTCCAGGTTAGTAGCTTAGACTCTTATGACTTATTCACATATTTGATTATGATAAATATTGAGATAACCTGGTACATGTATCTTGTTCAACTGTTTCTTTAGGATAAATTCTTAAAAGTAGAATAAGGTCAAAAGGCATAATCTTTGTTGTTTGTTTGTTTGTTTGTTTGAAACAGTCTCTCTATAGCCCCAGCTGGCCTGAACTTGCTATGTAGACCAGGCTGGCCTCAATCTCACAGAGACCCACCTGCCTCTGTCTCCCAAGTGCTGGGATTAAAGGCCTGGCTACTTCCTGAACTTTTTGACACATCTTTCCAGAATTGCCCTTCAGAAGGCCAGATTCATTTTCATGCTATTAGACATCTGTTTTTCTGCCTTCCTGCCAACCACAGAGCAGCCAGCTGTTCCACGTCTGCCAGTCTGACTGGCATAAAAATGGTATCATATAGTTCTTGCATTTCTCTCGTTCTAGGTAACATCAAGCATCTTTTCATATGCTGCTGACAACTGGGGTAATAAATAGTGTAGGGCTGGAGAGATGGCTCAGCAGTTAAGAGCACTAGCTGCTCTTACAGAGGACCTGGGTTCAATTCCCAGCACCCACATAATGGCAAATCATTTGTAACTTCAGTTTCGGGGGATCTGACACCCTCTTTTGACCTTCTCGGGCATCGCATGAGACAAGTGCACTTAAATACATGCAGGCAAAACACTCGTATACATTAAATAAATAATAAAATAAGCCAGGCATGGTGGCGCATGCCTTTAATCCCAGCACTCGGGAGGCAGAGGCAGGCGGATCTCTGTGAGTTTAAGGCCAGCCTGGTCTACACAGTGAGTTCCAGGACAGCAGGGGCTACAGGGAGACCCTGTCTCAAAAGGACCAAAAAAAAAAAGGACAGACATGGTGGCTCTCACTTGCAATCCCAGTGTTGAGGTGGTGGAGATGGGTGAGTCCCTAGGGTTTGCTAGCCAGCCAGCCTACTCTTCTAGTTTCAGGCCATTGAGAGACCCCCATCTCAGAATTTAAAAAGAGCCAGGTGTGGTGGTACACGCCTTTAATTCCAGCAATCAGGTCACAGAGGCAGGCAGATTTCTGTGAGATTGAGGCCAGCCTGGTCTACATAGTGAGTTCCAGGCCAACTGGGGCTACAAAACACCCTCCAAAATAAATAAATAAGGACAGTACATGCCTGAAAAATGACACCCAAGGTGTCTTCTGGCCTCCATGTGCACGAGAATACACATGTATATACACAAAATCATACGTGAACATATGTACACACACATACAGTGTTGGTTTTTTTTTTAGTCATTTTGAGGGTCCCCCTGTAGGCCCAGCTGGCCTGGAACTCACTGTGTAGACCAGGCTGGCCTTGAATGCACAGAGATCCACCTGACTCTGCCTCCCAAGTGCTGGGATTAAAGGTGTGCGCCACCACCCTTGGCTAGTTGTAGAACTTTTGTCTAGCATGTGTAATGTCCTAGGTTCAATTTCCAATACTGAATTTTTTCTTCTTTTCACAAATGGATGCCACTAACAGTTGACTTAAATGTGCATGGAAATAAATATCTATTGTCTGTGAATTAGGAAAGTTTTTAAAGCACCCTAGTCAACCTGGAAGATGACTGGATTTGCAGTTTTAGTGCTGGACTTCTCTACCAGGTCTGCCAGCAGACAGAAATGTTAAGTGCCATGTCACATCCCAAAATGAGATTAGCTTTGTCTTTGTTTGTTTGTTTGTTTGCTTGGTTGATTGATTGATTGATTGATTGATTGATTGATTGATTGATTGAGATAGGGTTTTCCTATAGCCCCAGCTGGCCTGGAACTTGCTATGTAGACCAGGCTGACCTTAATCTCACAGAGATCTGCCTGAGGGCTAGAATTAAACGTGCACCCCACCAGAGTACCAGGGCAAGTGGCTGCATCTTAATCCAAGGAAAGATGGGATTCTTGAGGAAGGTAGCATTTTATTTCATCTGAAAACTTTGGTTCTCACACTGTTCTTCCCTCAACAGCTAAAGCAGTTGACGGTTACGTGAAACCACAGATCAAGCAAGTGGTCCCTGAGTAAGTGTGTGAGGCCCAGCCCAGTGAGGTCTCCTGGTGCCTCTTTTTTCCCATTCATTTTCTTCCCTCAGTACCGGTCACTGCCCCCTGCTGAGCTCAGCATCCCTCATCCCTTGGAAAACCCAGCTTAGCCCTTGAGAAGGAACTGAGTTCCCTCATACTGTGGCCAGCACCCAAGGCTCCTCATTTGTAGCTTGATCCTCAGGAACCAACCTCCTATGTCCTGAAAAAAACATGAAGATGTCCCCCAAGCCCCTCCCCAAATCCATGCAGCTAAGTCTATGTTCTGCTTCCTTCCACAGGTTTGCTGGTGCATCCACAGATACTGGAGCCAGTGCCACCTACATGGACCAGGCCCCCTCCCCAGCAGTGTGTCCCCAGACTCACTACAACATGTACCCACAGAAGTAGGTCAAGCTCTTGGGGGATCCATGGGGAGGGACTGGGACTCTTGGCCTAAGGCTGTATATCCAGAGGGTTGGGGAAAGTAATATGGAGGTCCTCTGGGTCTGACCTCACCCAACCTAAGCCCAAGCTCTGGACTATGAAAGTAAGAGATACCACCAAAAGATATGAAAGTGTCAAGTGGCTGTAGGTAAATGGCATCTGCGCTGTGTGTAAGGACTGGGTGGGGGCTGTGTCTGCACCTCCAGTGTTGGGCAGCTTGGGTGGGCACTTATGTCTGAGTCTCTGAAGAATTAACCAGTCAAGGCCTCTCTTCCCTGCATTCAGATCAGGAGGTCGTTTCAAAGAGGCCTAGGCCTAAAGGGTAGCCTAGACCCCTCCCCTCCCTTCATCTGTTGTCTTTCCCTCCCAAGCCCCGACTCTGTCCTTGACACCGATGGGGACTTCGATCTAGAAGACACGATGGATGTGGCTCGGCGTGTGGAAGAGCTCTTGGGCCGGCCCATGGATGGTCAGTGGATCCCTCACGCACAGTCATGACCCAGCCTCCCCACTAGCAGCTTCGAGCTTCGTCATCCTCGCCGGAGAAATCTTCTTGTGGATGTTTTAATTCCATGAATCGCTTCTCTTTGGAAACAATACTCATAATGTGAAGTGTTAATACTAGTTGTGACTTTAGTGTTTCTGTGCATAGTGGCACCAGTGAAGGGAGTGTGTGTGAGTGTGAGTTTGCACGTTGTGTTTTTCCCACCCTTTGCTGTCTAGAGTCTAGCTGCAGCACTGGGGCCCAGAGGCTGGGCTTGTTTTTACCTTGTGCAAAAAGGCGGCAGATTCCATGAACCCTGGAACCTGGCCATGTGTCTTAAGGGTGGCTGAACTTTGACATATGACTATTCAAGTCAGAAAAGGACAAAGGGAGGAAAAAGCACCTCCTCTCTGGGGAGTCCTCAGCCCTCTCAGGCCGACCATAGTCCATGCGAGCTGTCAGGTCTCCGCCTGTCTTCTGAAATGTAGATGACTGCCTTTTGATAAAGAACACCAGTCCACCCTCTCATGTCCCCTGTCCCCTGTGCACATAGGGACGGGAAAGGGGGTACTATATAAAGACTGTTAGGGTAAGAGGGGGTCACAGGTTTTTGGATGGGTAGTGGCTTTTTCTATACTACTTAACCCATCTTACCATCGTCTCTTGTCCCCTGCCCCTTGCTCAATCTCTGTTTCTAGAATCTCCACTCGGTTCTTGTGCGTGTGCACACCTGGATGTGTTTGACAAAGTAGAGGGAAGGAATTCAGGCCACCTGGCTGAGAGCGCACAGGTGGTGCCCTCTGTGCTCTGCCAGAGGGGCACGTGTGCCCAGCCCTGACTCAAGGCCCTGGGTGTGGCCCGTCTGTGCCATCTTTTCTCGGTGCTGTGGCAAGGCTGTGCCCGCATCATTCGAGTCTTTCTAGAAGCTTGTGGATTAATGGCTTTCTGCAAATGTCCAATGGTGTTTTTGTTTCTAAATCAGGTCTTTTATGTTTTTTCCTTTGCACCCTAATTTGACATCAAATTTCTCTCTTCCTGCATCAGGCCCTGGGTCCTCCATACCCAGGCCACCTCTTTTTCCTTCACTGTCACACAGTGTTGAGGAAGACATAGCAGGAATATGACCAGCACCTGGGTTCAGCCTGCCAAGCCAGGAGCCACCACAGCAGGGTGCTGGGTGCTGGGTGCCGGGCATTGTGAGTTGGAGAAATGCAGTCAGCAGGTTTGCTGGGAAGCTGATGAACTGTAGAAACAAAGCAGAAAGCCTTAGCTTGATTTGGTTCCTCAGCTTCCTCTATGGTGTCACCAGAAGGAAGGGAGGGGCTGAGGCAGGCAGGTGGGGAGAGGGGCAGGCCAAGGGAGCTCATCCTCAGGCCTGCAGAGGCCAAAACAGGGACAGAAGCACACCCCAGAGAGGAGGGCCGGAAAACCTTATTTTTATACATGCAAGTAAATAAACATATTTTTTTTACAAAAATAACTTCTGAATTTATCAGTGTTTTGCTGTTAAAGGAAAATATTCCTGTGTAGTAAATTATTTATTGGAAAATGACTTTTTAAAAGCTGCTATTCGCCTTGGCTTGGTTTCATACACTGACTTTTCTATGTCTGGCAGTACCCTCGGTTTCAGGTGCAGGCTAGAGGAAGTGTTAGGTCCCTCCCTGCCCTCAGGATTTGACCCAAATTCCCACCCTGAGGGTAGGAGAAAGATGGAACTGCTGGGGGAATCCAGGCTTACAAGACTCCTCCCTGCCTGTCACTCAGTGGCCTGTTTGTCCCAATAACCCTGGCACAGGTGTGAACTTGACACACTTTCAGATTGGAGGTGGACATGTCCCCAGGGCCTAGAGAGGGCAGAGCGGCCTGGCACCCCCAGGGAATTCCAAGCTTACTCTGCAGTTGGGTTGGAGAAGAAGGTGGTAAAAAGTAGGGCTTGCTGAGCTACTCTGGGTTTTCCTGAGGCTGTGCCTGGAGATGGGAGAGGCTTTTGACTGGAAGGTGTGCTTGCTATCTGCATGCTGGAGTCTCTCTATGCCCTGCCCCTGCACTTAGAGAAGAGGTGAGGGCAAGTCTCCACTCGCCGCTCACCCACTCACAGACCCACACACAAGCCCTCAAAACCCTCAACTTGGGGTATGGTATGTGTGTGACTTTGTAGGGGTGGAGGGAGGCTCAAAGTAGAGATCTCTTACAATGCAAATATACTTTTTATAATTTTTCTTTTTAAGATTTTATTTCAGATACGTATTTTAGTGTCAAGGCAGATTAGTATATAGCCACCAAAAAAGTATTGTGTACAATTTGGGGCAGTCACAAAAGTATTGTGTACTTTATGTTATAATAAAGATGTCTTCTGAAAGACAGTGTCTCCAGCTGTTTTCCTTTCTATTACGTAGTAAGAGAGGGTGGCTCTTACAGAAGTTTCCAGTCGCCAGTGTGACCCCAAGATGAGCAACTAGTTGGGAGTGTATAGCCTGACAGGGTATGTCACCGGCTTGGATAGTTAATAGGGGCGCCTCTTACCTTCCTGCTGGGTAGCATTTGGAAAATTGGACCAGTAGCCGCTTCCAGCCTCCTCACACTTCCTGAAGGAAAGTGAGTCCTAATTCAGTGCATTCAGATGCGTCCCCTGAGCCCCACACTGTGTGAACAATCTGATGATGAACGGACGTTGGCTCCTACCACCCCAGAGGTATCCTAAGGTCATTGTGAAATACAAAAGAAGCCGGGTATGGTGGCACACCAGCTCTCCAGAGGCAAAGGCAGGCAGATCTCTGTGAGATGGAGGCCAGCTGGAGACCCTGTCACAACCACCCCTCCCCAAAATACAAAAGAACATGAAGGGCCATGGAGAACCTGAGCTTTCTCTCTCTCTCTCTCTCTCTCTCTCTCTCTCTCTCTCTCTCTCTCTCTCTCTCTCTCCCTCTCCCATCTCTATCTCTATCTCTGTACTGGGGTTTGAACCTAGGGCCTCAAGCATGCTAGGAAAGTACCCTGCTACCAAGCTATGTCCCCAAATGCCCAGCCCTTTTTCTTTTGAGATGAACTCTGGTTATCCTTGAACTCCCAGTCTTCCTAGCTCAGCCTCCAGAGGTTGTAGGCCTGCAATCAGAGGCAGGCCCAGTGTCTCAGACAACTCAAAGGATATACAGGCATTAAGGAAGAAGCATTCAGCCTGAGTGAACAGTGTAAGCTTAGAGGAAAACATAAGAGGGTTGGGACCAAGGCATTTTGTGTGATGTTCTGAAACAAGTGTACAGGAGCACCTCAGAAGACTTGGTACAGTACAGGCTGAGGCAACTACCCACCCCTGAGTTTTGAGTAAGTCTTGGGTGGAGCTCAACAATACACACTTCTCATAAATTATGCTGGTCCAGGGGCCATACTATGAAAAATGCTACATGGGGATGAGGCTACTGGAGAGCAGAGAAGGGCTGGGGGACCTCATGGGCCAGGCTGTCTGAACTTTGCCTGAGTAGCATGGTGAGGGATGTAATCCTAGCAAATTGGAACAACCAGATTTTCATTTTAAGAACATCTACTGCAAACTAGGTAGGATGGTACATGCCTGTAATCCCACACTTAGGGGTTGGAGGCCAGAGGATTGGAAGTTCAAGGTCATCCTTGGCTGCATAACAAGTGCAAGACTGGTCTGGACTACATGAAACCCTGTCTTAAAAAAAGACTACAGCCAGTTGTGGTGGCCTGTGCCTTTAATCCCAGCACTTGAGAGGCAGAGGCAGGCACATCTCTGTGAGTTCAAGGCCAGCCTGGCCTACACAGTTCCAGGTCAGCTGGGGCTATAGGGAGACCCTGTCTCAAGGCCAGAAAAAAGGAAAGAACAAAACACTACTTCAGCCCCAGTGTGTGTGGCTTGAAAGGAGCCAGAACAAGAGGTCAGGGGAAACTTCAGTAGTTCAAGCAAGAGGAGATGGTATCAACTGGGGACCCACAGCCCTGGCTCTGAAGTATAGTAATATCCTAGTAACTGACATTGAAGGATGGTTAAAACCTAGATTCTTTCCAAGTTTGTAGCTAGGAAATTGGTGACAAAGTTAGATGCTCCCCAAAGGGCCAGGGCTGTAGCTCAGTGGTAGAACATTTGCTTCTTGTTCAGAAGACTCTGGGTTTGATTGCCAGCACAGCAAAAGTGAAACAAAAAACTGTCTGAGATAGATACTCCTCTCGGAGGAAACAGGTGCCACAGAGAGGAACAGGTGGAGGATAAAGATCCAGAGTGCACATCTGGGTATGGGAGCATGGTTGAAAATGCTCATTGTGGGTTGGCACTGTAGCTCAGTTGGTAGAGCGCCTAGCATGCACAAAGTCCCAGGTTTGATTCCAGCACTCCATAAACCAGGTGTGGTGCACGCCTCTAATGCCAGAGCTTGGGAGGTGAAAGCAGGAGGCTCAGAAGTTTAAGGTCATCCTTAGCTATAGCTGGAGTTGGAGGCCAGCCTGGGATAGACAAGACCCTGTGTTCTGTACAGTCCAGAGAAGTGATCAGCAATAGCCGTATCTTCAGTTTGGGATGACTGGGTTTATTAAGTATATATAAAGTAAAAATAAAAGAAGAAATAGCAAGTAGCAGATAGCAACAGCAAATAGATAGGAAAACATCATCCAACCAGGAGTTTGCAGTGTCCAGTACCAATGGCTGGAGTAGCTTGATTGAAAGTAAACAAGGGCAAAGCATCAAATTGGCGGATGGAGCTTAATATCCAGCAGTATTGACTGGGCAAGGAGGCAGTCAAATGTTCCCAGTGAATCCTCTCCATCAGTGAGCTTTTGGCATCCTGTTCAAAACAGGCATCTTGACAGTATGGGATGAACAATTGTAGCCCCTCTGCTGGGAATGGTTCCTCCCTGTAACTGTTCTGGGAACGGCTCCTCCTCAGCTTCTCTCAAGGGCACAACATTTTCATTCTCTGTTTTGTTGTTCTTCCTTCTTTCCATTACAGAACTGGTGGCCAGCCTGACCCAGGATGGGGGTGGGGTTGGAGGACACAGCATGCATACACACATACATACAATGATAATGTTTTTTCATTACTAAATAATCCTTTCACAAAGATAATCTCAGTCCTCTGAATTCCACCGAACACATAAAGAAGAACTGCTATTGACTCTTCACAGACTTATCAAAAATGTAGGACCTTTTCCAGCTCATGCCATGAAACCCATATTATCTTAATTCCAAAACCAGAGCAAGACATCGTAAGACAACATGGCTCATGCATACAACATGGCTCGTGCATACAACATGGACATACTCAGCAAATGCTGGCAGACTGAGCTCATCAGCATATAAAGAGCTGTACTTTCACAAAGTCAGATTTATCCCAACAATGTCGGCTTAGCTTAGCATATGAAAATCTATTCATGTATCAATAGAATAAAAAATAAAAACTAAGAGGCTGGGGAGATGGCTCTATTGGTAAAATGCTTACTGAGAAAGCATAAAGGACCTGAGTTCAGATCCCCAGCACACACTAAAGAGCCAGGTGTGATGGCACATGCCTGTGATTCCAGTGTTGGAAAGGTAGAGACAGGATCCCTGGGACTACCTGGCCAGTTAGTCTAGTTCAATCCAATAGCTCCAGGTTCAGTGTGAGAACGTGTCTCAGAAATAATAATAATAATAGGTGCTGGAGAGATGTTTCCGCAGTTAAGAGTACTGGCTGCTCTTGCAGAGGACCAAGGTTCAGTTTCCAGCACCTACATGTCAGCAACAACTGTTTGTAACTCCAGTTCCAAGGTATCCAATGCCCTCTTCTGACCTCTGCAGGCATTGCATGACAGGAGCACTTGCATCCATGCAGGAAAAACACTACATATAAAATAAGAGTAATAAATAAAATGTTAAAATAATAAGTAGAATGCAATTGTCGAACAATACCTGACACTGACCTCAGCCTACCACACACACACACACACACACACACACACACACACACACACACACATACACACACACAAATAAATAAAATTGAGCCATTTTGGTGGTGCACAACTGTAATCCCAGAAGTCAGGAGACTGAGGCAAGAAAATGGAGCATTTCAGGCCAGCCTAGGCTATAATAAGACCCTATATCAAAAAAAAAAGGAGAGAGAAGGAAGGAAGGAAGGAAGGAAGGATAAAGAAAGGCCAGGTGTAATAACACACACCTTTAATCCCAGCTTTTGGGAGGCAATCAAGCGTATCTCTGTGAGACTGAGGCCAGCCTAGGCTACATAGTGAGTTCTAGGCCAGTTGGGGATACAGGGGAGACCCTGTCTCAAAAAGAAGTGAAAAAAATTGGTTCCCTACTTCCGCTATAATACTTACTGTAGCCAGATGTAGTATGAGTTGGTAATCTCAGCACTTGGGAGGCTGAGGCAGTATGGTTGCTAAATCACACTGGCCTGGGCTATATAGAAAGATCATACCTCAAAAACTGCTTATTTGGGGGCAGAAGGAAGTAAAGAAGGAAGGAAAGGAGGGAAGGAGGGAGGGAAGGAGAAAGGGAGAGGTATGGGAGGGAGGAAGGGAGGAAGGAAGGAAGGAAGGAAGGAAGGAAGGAAGGAAGGAAGGAAGGAGAAAGACTCAAAAGGGGAGATGGTGCATGCCTTTAGTCCCAGCACTAGGGAGGCAGAGGCAGGCGGATCTCAGTGAGTTTAAGGCCAAGCTGGTCTACACAGTGAGTTCCAGGACATCTGGGGATACAGGGAGACCCTGTCTCAAAAAGACCAATATATATATTTATCCATAGAACCATTTATCCACAAATGTTTATAACTATTATATATAATAGCATTAGAATGGGACCAATCCAAATACTCACAAACAGATGAATACATAAAATAGTCTATATCTATATATGGGAATATTACTCAGCAATAAAAAGAAGCATGGATATACAGTACTACA